CGGGTGGGCCGCTGTTGAGAAGTCGGGAAGGTGGGATGGATATAGAGGGGAATTTAATTTAAAACCGTTCGCGACGATAAACCATTGCTAACGGAAAACGATTTGGAGCGAAGTTTCTTTTACACGTATACGCGATTTTTCTCATTTTTCCTACGTTTTCCTCAATTATTATACGAAAACTGCTCGAAAAATTGCCCGCTTAAAGTACGAAAAAGACAAAATTTCCTTTCGGAAGAGAAGCTACTTGATATATCGAGGCAATATTTCTAGTAGAAAAGTTGATCGGAGGAAAAAAAAAATCTAAAAAAGTACACAACAGTATGTTATTCGCGTTGCTTTGTGTGTACCATATGACTGGTGGTAATCATATGATTCGAGAAACGACGACCAATAAAAATTGATAAACCCCTACAATGGTCTATCATTGTGCATGACAGACTGGTATCTAGACAGATATTAATATGCCTACGAATATTAACAATATACGCATTCAAATAATGGGGACGGGTGCAGCCGCCGTTTTAGGTAATATTTTAATGTCTACCTGGAAGCAATGGTTCACCGTTGCTTTCGGATGAAGAAAAAATCTGATTCTCGGCGGAGTTCGGTTGATAGTCGTGCTTTGTCAAGATTATACATGTCATTTTATAGTAAAATAACTAAAATAGACTTAATATCTTTGGTTATAATATTTGATTAATGTTTTACCGGTTTTTCCCAGTTTTCCTACGTTTTCCGACGTTTGATCCCGGTTTTTCGAATTTGATGTGAAAACTCCGGAGACAATCGAAAAACGAACTCTCTAAAGTTTCTCCCCGGTGAAATTTTCTTTTAGACAAATGCCTTTCATTATAAGTTGGAGCGAAATTGCGAGAAGAACAGTTGTCCATAGAAAAAAAAATAAACATCTTTGTGAAGCCGTACGGTTCTTCGCTCCGATCAAAATTTAAAACGTATGCGAAATCGTAATTTTCGATTTCGGTTTTCGAATAACTGACTCTAAACGGTTTCGTGTACGGATAAACGGCTTTTAGCGCACAATACATTTTCGCCCCCGATTCGTCGCGAATAAGTAACACAATAAGTGTTATTAGTTCGTGTCAGTAAAACCAAATAATATTCCCTTGTCTACGTAATTATGAATTTCGACCGTTTCGGACTTTTGGAGCGATTAATTTTTATTTCTGAAACATGATCATAATTTCGTGCGCGTCTGGACACGAGCTGAAACCACACGAACAGTCAGCCACAAACAACAGGTGTCGATTTAGGCGATAATGACATTACGAATCGATTTAGGCAATAATGGCCGAACGAAAAACGACCGAGGAGTTCCATTCATCACACTGAAGTAATAAAATATACAAATGAAATTATGTATGCGTAAAAATAAATTAAATAAACGAACGAACGAACGCATCGTCCGGAGTATTATGACGAGTGCATCGTGCGACCGGTTTCGAATTAACAATTCGCCGTCAGGCATAATGACAGTCGAAATGCATTTTTTATTACCGAAGTGTCGCAAAATATTGTTGACGAACGACGAAACGTTCTAAAACTGCTTTGAAAATTTCCATCACGGATCAATAACAATCGGAGGCCACCGAACGATAACAATATTAGGTTTGCGCGTGTTACGCGAACGCATTGTGAATAAACGATTATACAAAACTAATTAAACTGATATGGGAAATTGCTCGGTGTGTTTAAGTGTTAAATTAGTTTTAATTTATTCAGTCGAATCGTTTATAATTTATTCCCGTCATAATCTTATTGTAATCAAAAATTTAAGTAACAATTTTAAGATTTTTTTTTTTTTTTTTTTCCAAGAAAATTACCACTTATAAAGTTTTAAGGTGTATTATAATCAGGTATGAATTCGTAATGAAACCGTGTTAATATATATTCGTGGAGAAAAAGAGTTGCCAAGAGTCAGGACGCCCCACCCCCGCCCCACACCCCGCCCATTCGTCCGAAAAAAAATCCCGAAATACGCGTACACTGTAGCCGAATACGAAAATGCCCACGGGAAAACAGCGGACGTTTTAAAACCGATACTTTAATTAGATTTTTTCGTCCGGCCATTTCGGTCTACGCGGCTATTATCGACGGGACCGTAGTAATTACCGAGCGTCAGATTTTACGTCAGCTTTGTAATATCGCCAACTGCAGTGACGAATGTTACAGTTCTACAACTCCGCTTGGAAATAAATGATAAACGCAATCGAAAAGAGTAGTTATTTTTAGTGTTCACGCCCAACAATAACGTGACGGAGATTTTAAAAAAAAATTTCCCCGGGTCCGTCTGCCAAACGATAAAAATAAAAACTCAGACACCTATAATTAAATACATTCCGCAGAACGTCGCTCGTGAACGCGTCACATCCGCAGTCCGATCGGTCTCGCGGTCTGTCTCGCTCCGTGTCTCTGGCGCTTGTGTTGATAGCAACACGTTGACCAATCCGGAATGCGGATCACAATTCCGTAATCCGGATTCGGATTACGAACCCGTCGATCTTTAATTTTGATCCGACCCCCGGCCGCACTGCTTTTGAGATAGCTGATTAGCTATTTATTATTATTATTTTTTTAATTATCGTCTATAGTACGTACAGCTTCTATAATACGCGAGTATAATAATATGATCCGAGATCTGTCGACAATCGACTCGATGTGACCGAAGAAAGTCTTTCACAATTCCTCGACTTGATTGTCGTCCAGAATGAGTTGAGTTCCAGGTTAGAGTATCCAATACACGTTTTGCGGTCGATTGAAGAATTCCAGTTATAGATTTGGATATGAAAAATCAATCGTAAATAAAACGATAATTGTTTTTTTAACGCTTTACAATTCCGGACTCGGCGCGTTCGGCAATATCTGGCGCCGTCACTCTCTATTTTTCTCCTTCTGTTTCCCTCTCACTCTCTCTCTCACTCTCTCTCTCTCTCTTTCCGAACACGCACTGCGGGCGAAAACAACGGCATCGCCGTTATTGTTATTATTGCTATTAACACGGACGCGTTCAAAAGCATCGTTCGAAACCCGATAACGTGATATCCGGGCGCGCGTGAAATACGCACGTTATCCGCGTCGTCGGGCGGACCGCGCGCTCGCCCGGGCCAATTGAACGCGACGTCGCACGCCGCACGTCGTGACGTTGTTACGCGCGCAACAAACGCCGGACGTGTCGGAACGACAACGGTATTTTAACGCCCGCGAGAAATTAAACGGCCCGAAGGAATGTGCTCGGGCGGCTGCTGATGACGGGGAAGGGGGAAGGGGGGGGGATCGTCGACAACGGATTTCCCGAATATCCGGGCGTATAAATCCCGTAACGCGCGAGAAACCTTTTTTTCGTTTTTTTCCCACCGCACCCGAGCGATCGCTTTGCGCGAAAAATTCTCGACGATACGCTTTTTTCTTTTTTTTTTTTTTTTTTTTTTTTTAACACGTTTGAACCGTAATTTATTATTATAATCGGGGACGGGCAGTTGTAGGAATTATTGCATATTTTCGGCCGGCCAAACATCCGTCCGTCCCGTGGCCCGGCGAGGCTTATCGTCGAGGCTTACGTTTTTTTTCGGCGTACGTTCGGTAGTTTTTTTTTTTTCTTTCAAGAATCGCACGTCCGCGGTATTCGCACGCGTATAAACCGCCTTTTCAGTACGTTTGTTCGTACCAATTATTACCATTTATTAGTACCAACAGTCGAACCGGCTAATCGCATCTCGTCGTATCCGATTGTCTGTAATCGAGGGGATCGGATGTTGAAAATGTTAAAAAAATGTTTCGAGACGGTTCAGTGCGACGAATGTTACACGTTTGAAGAAAATCGAAAATATGAAATACGCGAGCGTCACAAATAACCTATATTTTACAAAAGCAAACAAACACCTAAACTATATTTATTTAATTTGTTTTCAAATTGCCATATTGCTTTTCTCCGGTACAGCATAGTGACGATGCCGTTTAAATTCATATGTTTTAATACCAGGGCCGTTATTATGGCGTTTGCACAAAACTTTTATTCGACAATTTCGAAACTATAGATGTTTATAAAAATGAATTTAATTTATCTGGTTTTTTTTTTTTTTTTACAATCGTATTTTGCGAGAATTTTACGGATTTCACGCGAAAAATATCCGCATAAGTAAGTTCCGTATGTTTCGATTTGTCTGTTCTTTTTACGAACGTTCGGCCGATTACACCACCGATAAATTCGCATTCCCAATTATGTTATAACATTAAATTTCGACGTTCCCCCGATTCGTCGGCCCGTATGTATAATAGACGAGCTCGTCTACACGCGATCGACGCGGTTCGAATTATCGCGTTTTTCCACGGTTTTCCCTGGCGTTTCGGAAAAATTCGCGGATGCCGACACGCGTCCCGTTTCCACACGGATACGTGTATTCATCACGTATTCATCACGATAGATGTCGCGCGCGTAAACCGGTAAACAATTTCGCTGCGGATATTATATTACAGTGAATTTTCACCCGGGGACCCGCTAACCTGACCGGACGGACAGCTGCCAGAGACAATTACGCTCGTCGCGTTTTATCCGAGACTGCGGGTCGAGTTTGCCGAATTTACGTATTACCATTATCGATCGAGTCGTCACGGGGATCGTTGAAAAAAAAAAAACCAACATTACGTCCAACGTTAATCGCTGCAGTGATAATTAATGGACCCCGGCACTCCCGCGCTCTTGAATTCCGAAACGAAACGGAGAGTTTTTTTTTTTTTTTTCGAACATCGTTTATGCTGATTTGTGCGGAAAGTTTCAAAATGTGTGTTTTCGAACTTTCCGAGACACAAAAGCATTTCTAAGAGGGTCCTTAGGAAACGGTGTACACCCATTTTCATATTTCGAAATAATTGATAATCAAACTATAAGGGTATACGATCAACGGGTTATAGATAGTAAATTTGAATATTGTTTCAATTAAAATCGGTTGTAAGCAACCGTTGACGTGACGTACTCGAAATTTAACTCGTTGTTTGTTAATTTAATGGAAAATGAAAAAAATAATAATAAAGGCGATCGGAGCCAAACCGAAAGTCAAAATCGACTTTGAACATTTAGCTTGACCGTATTAACTGTACGAACTGCGTGCGAAAATTTAGTTGAAAACTGACTTAGCCGGCGTAAACAGTGTCAAATTGTCGTCTCATAGCGAGTTTTTATTTTGCACCGAAATAAGTGTGTGCAAATTTTCAGCACCGTAAGTAGTTGAAAATAGTGTTTGTAACTTGCACCAAAATTATTATTATCCACAAGTATTCGATTGCAGGCACTTTGCTTATTCGATTGACCCACAGTGGTACGACAGACGATTTTAGCGGATTTTTGAAAATCAAAATTTTATTGTTGTCTTTAAGATAAGTTGACCTTTTGCTGTTTCTAAAGAATGAATTTATTGATTAGCACACACTCGTTTTATAAAACATTTTATACTAATTACATTTATGTGATTGATATTTTCAAACTTTCATAAATTTCCATACTTTCTCATTGCATCGCGTTAAAACGATTAAACGTAAATATTTTGTTTCCGGGGTTCGCGATCAGCCGCCATCTTATCCGGTATAATCATTTCAACACTTGACGATCGTTTATCCGCCGTAATCGCATGATTTATTTGGTCGAAATAAATACTTTTTCGAAGTCTTTCCGACTTTTCAGCACAAAAATACTAAATTATATTTTCGCCAAAATTAACACAACCATGATAATATTATAGATTATATTATAATGTCTGTCGTATATTGTTATTGTCATACGGCGGCTTTTAAATCAATACTGACGTGCCGTAAAACGGTGTAATTGGGCAAGTGCAAATAACCACCCGAAATCGAAACGGATCATCCTGTGTCTTAAGTTTCCCGTGTCTAAATTCTTATGTTATACGGGCACTCTGCTATCGAAACTTGTGCGTAGACACTATCGAAAGAACAATCGATTTAAATTTCAACACTACACAAATCCCACATCTTACTACCTGAGATGGCGGGTGCGTTGTCTCCGTTTCGGTGCAAATTACGAACGTTGTATGCACTCGGGGTCAGTTTTGGTGCGAATCGACAACGCCCGTATTACGACGGCCGAGTTAGAAAAATACTTTTCAAACGTATTCGGTATACGTTTTCAAATACTCGCGCGAATTTTATTCGAATATCGACGTTCTTTTGAACGCATTTGAATACTTTAAATACAAATATTTACTGAACCTATTAAAAACACTCTACAAACACTTTCTGTTTTTTCTTATTTTTTTTTTTGTCAATTCATTTTATATTCAACAAACTACAAATAAACACTTAAACGTACTTATGCCGGTTAGCCTGTTTAATATAAATCGGTTCGGGAATCGCAGATGTAGCACATTAACATATTATTATTTAATTTTATTCGTCGATGAGCGCATTAGGTATAGCACACCATACGCACTGTACGTATAGATTACACTAATGTTATGCAATTGGTTTTTTTGAGTTGTAAGCGTTACAAATACACAGAACCGTAGTCATTTGTTATTTTAGAAACGATAGAAAAAAACTAATCGGAAAATACCAAGATACAGTTGTAATACATTATAACGCGAACAAAAGTATTCTGGAACAAACAAATACGACGAAAGTATTCGATAGACGTATAGTGTGTACACATCCGTCGAGCAATATTTCCAAAGCATTTAAACACGTCAAAAAAATAACAGAGTTGTTCGATCATTGAACGAAACTGGTACGTTATAAAATAAACGTTCAGATAATGATGAAATCGCATATTTTCTTTCTGTTTATCCAAAATAAATTCTAAAAAAGCTATACTATTTATGTTCTGAGTGTAGAGTATGGGTTTTACAACGGTGTTTATTATTATTATTTTTTTTTATGTAAACACTTCTTCTACCAGTAAGCTTACTCTGATGTATACGATGTAGACTGTTGTCTGAAAGGAAATTTTCTTAGGGTGGAACTTTGGGTAGGTCATTTTTCGATTTTCCCGAAAAACGGGAAAATCAGTGCCATATTAAACTAATATTAAAGCAGAAAAAATAAAATACTTATTTTAATGCTTTTTATTTTAATATTTTACAACTTTGCTCAGAATCGTTTCGTGTTTTTTTTTTCGGCGTAACCGATAATACGACACACAAAAAATACCGGTAAACCTTGGTCGCGCCCCCTACCGTCCACCCGTATTTCAGGCGCGGAATCCGGGTCCGCGGAACGCGCGGTCCGGAACCGCCGTATTGTCGGGTCCGCGCAAAGTTTTTTTCGGCCCGACCCGTGCGGCGTACGCGTTTACGGTTTTCGCGCGAAAGGATAACAAAACCCGTCCGGGTACCGAAACTTTCGCGTTTACGACGTCGACGGGGACGCCCGCCGTCCGGCGCGTAACTATCGTGTCGCGCGCTCCGTCGGCGGTCCGGCGTTCCGTCCGTTCTCCGACGTCCGGATCTCGTTACGCGCGACGGCCGCCGAGGTTTTTCACCCGCATTTTTTTCCGCGGCGTTCCGACGTCCGTGGCCGGACGGGCGACGTCGAACGACACAACGGCAACACAATGACAATAAATCGTATCGTTTACGCGAATTTCCGTTTTCGGCACACGCCGGCCGACAACGACGGCGGCCGCTATACGCGCACGCGGCGTGTTATGTCCGATTAAGTCCGCCTCGTCCGCGGCGGTCCGGAGCCCCGTCGGCGATCCGCGTTTTCCCGCCCGGAAATCTTGCCCGGACGCGTATCGAGCGTGGCGCGGTCGTCGTGAACGGCGATTCGGGGATCCGGCCGGTACGCAGGTCGTTTGTTTCGATTTTCCGTACGGTCAGGTCGTAGTAATTTGGACGGACCGGCGGAAAAAAAACGTATAGGGTAAAAGGCGAACGCGCACGAAACGCGTTGTCTCCGATTCGGCGGTTTGTTGCGATTCGGTTTGAGATATTCGTAGGGACTTGAAATTCGGACAAAACAATTAATTATATTCGCGTTTTCTAGGCGCGGGTCGAATTTTCACAACGTTTCAGCCATTTGCCACGTTTTCCTCGATGTGTCGGCCATTTCGGTTCTAAGGAGAGTGTGTTTTTAACGGTTTCGTACGTTCGCGGAGCACAATGTTTGAGGATTTCGTACGTTTTCAACTCTTCGAATCGAGAATCGGCAAAATAATCGTTCGAGAGTGATGAACGGCACAGCCGATACATTCATGTTACGCTTTAGCGCTTTTCGATTGGTTGATCAGGGATGTATCTTTAATCGTCTATACCAAAACACGGTGCTTCATAACGTAACGGTTGTACAATCTGGGTAATTTTTAGAATTCCGTTACGTTATCATCGAGTTTTCCATCGTCATTGTTATTATTATCATTTTTTTTTTTTTTTTTTTTTTTACACATTTAGATGATTTTAACACCCTTATGAATATTATAATAATATAATCTATTACTCTGTATAATCGCATCATCGCAGTAAGACCGACTTTTCTTTAAATTCGCCGTTTCGAGAAAAATGAATTTTAAATTTTAAATTTTTACCGAGAATACGTAATGTTCAAAAGTAATTTCGGCGATACAAACTTTTCGTCTAACGACGTTTTAATGTTATCTGTACTTTAGAGTGGTGTATACATTTTTAATGTACCCGCGTTTTTTTTTTTTTTTTTTTTTTTTTTTTTTTTAA